CTGTCCAAGGGAAAAAAAGCGACATACGTTGCCGAAAAATGTAATGCCATTACACGCTGCCCCTGGACCCAGTTTAACGCCACACATCATGTACAGCGCATACGCAAGGCTAAGGTTTCGTCGATTTAAATTAAGGGGAGCACGCAAGGGAAAGGTAGGTGAAATTCGCGCACTTTGATACGAGGGCGTATACGAGAAGCCGAAAGCTGACCCGGTTGAGATGCGGCCTCGACACAGAGTTGCACGCAGCCCATACACAGGTGCCCAGTATCAACGAGATGAATACAACATCGGCAACGGCAAAAGCTATGACGAGGTCGCTGGAAAGGATAAGCTTCAAACGGGCCTGTATGACGGAGGGAACGTACGAGACACGAGAATCGAAGGTGGTGGGGGTGTGCAGTCGAGGAGACATGGGTGTTCGAGTGAAACAATGCGATGGCTGGGTTGAAACCATCCATAAAAGGTACGGACATCCGCGATACATCCGCGATTTGCCTCCGCAAGAAAGGGGCGGGGGCAAAGCAGTGATCTCGATCGTATATATTTTTGCAGAAAGCATTAATGGGAACCGGGTCATGACAAGCCTACTTGAGTCCACGTCGTAGAGGGCCGTGAGCTTGCTGCTTGACAAAGGACGCCAGTTCAAATGTCAGTCGTTATGCCACCCTGATCTTGATACTGGCAATTCCGGTCGATATTATGGAGTTGTACAGTAAAGGTCCGAGTCGCTTGGACGATGACTTCACGTTGAATCCTCGCTGTTTACTTCCGTGATGAGAAAGGTCGTGATCCGATCGAAATCATCGCTCTGGCCATCGCTCGGCAACATCGGCCGGCACGGCATGTTCAACCTCGGCTTTGTTGTATATATTAATTCAAGCAAGCCACCAAGTTGCGTGAAAAAGTAAGTCATGCTGGGTTTTTTTATTTTTTGCTGCAGTTGGGAAATGTTAGCGTTAAATCACATCGGGGTTGACATCGTCTTCCGCATTGGTTTTGGATTCCGCGCAATTTTATTGTGTAGTTCTACCAGTCCTGAAGCAAAATTAGTTAACGATAAAACAAAAATAAATGACTAATTTTAATATTTAGCTCTGGTTTGCTTTTACAAACCTAGCAGAGGCTGTGATAACGCATACGTCTTCCGCATTGGTTTTGGATTCGCGGAAATTCTTTTTAGCATGTCAACAGACAAGAAGTATGATTTGGGCGCACCATTAGTGAGATCCTCTCTTGGCTGAAAAATCCTGAGGCTTTTGACTTGCTATTCCACAACAAATCGCGTTTGGTGACCCATTTTCCCACGGTTCAAAATGCAAGCAAGCGCGAAGATATTCACCCCAGTTGCGAACGTGAGAAATGACAGGTATATTAATATTTATGAAAACACTACGAACTCTCAGATAGGCAAGTTTCAGGCGACAGAATACGCTCGGGGGTTCAGGATGGATTACGAATTTACGACTCGGGCTCCGTACATACGTGTATGGGGGCCGAAGACGTAGAAGCAACACGCGCATTCCAGCTTCAAGGCGAAAACCATGCTGTTGACGTGACTGTGCCTCCCACGATTTCAAGTCGATATTTTCCTGCTCAATTTTCGGTGAGGGCTCATCGGCTCTTCGGCTCTTCGGCTCCTCGGCGTCTCGGCATCTCGTTCCTCAATGGCATTGCCAAAAAATAAATATATCACGAATGGTGGTACAAGAAAAAAATGGTGGATCGGCCGGTCAAGAGAAAATCCCTCGCTGGTTAATCAGCCGTCTGGCATGGGAGAAAATGAGTCTGTACAGAGTCTGTACTTACCTCAGTCAGCAACTCGGCTAAGCACTCAGCCGATCCGCCGGTCACGGAGGAGCGGGAGAAGTTAGATGGAATCCTGCACTCAAAAATACCTTGGGCCAATTTAAAGAAAACCAAAGTTAGATGACTCGCAGGATTAAGGGTTTTTGAACCCAACGTCGAAGTCAAGTTGAACACGTCGGTGTTAGTTTCGTCGAGCAACATGCCGTAACGGGTCGAAGTTTGCCGAAAAGTGCCGAACATTCAAAATTTATCCACCAGTGCTACAGCGCATGGAAACCAGCACTAATGAGTTACAGTTTCGGTTTCTTCGTGCGCTCATGCGGCCGCGGGGACTCCAGTTTACGCTTCCGACCTCTCTCAGCGCTCTCCTCTTCATTACCCGTCATCATGGATTGGAGGACCGAGCTCAAACTGCCGGCGACCGGGAGGGATATCGAGTCGGCGTTGAATGCCGCATTCATCTCTTCGGCTTTCAGGGAATTACCGTGTTCCGTCATGTAAATTCTTGGATGTTGAATTGAATTTTTGGGAAAGTGGGAAGAGGCATTGCCTCCAAGCAGGGTTTCTATGGCCTGCATCGCGCTAGTCGCTGGTCCGGTGAGGGAAAATCTTGTAGATTTGGACGTCAATGGCATTTGGTTCCGCGGGATGCCTTGAGTATGTCAACGATTGATGACGGTGATCAATAGCGACACACTGACCTTTGACATTGTCTGGAAGGAAAGTTAGCATAGTCGCAGAGACTCACTCAAGCTTACGACATACCATGTCCCAAAACCTCCTGGATCCGATCAACAGAGGGGAGTAGCGGCCATTCATGCAAAGAACGGCGAAATTTGGAATTAAGCGTCTCGTCCCAATCTGTTGCGCCTTGCAATTTCCTTCCTCCAACATGGAGACTAACTAGCCTTTGGGTTATTACTGCCACTTTCGGCCGCTTGGTAGAATCCTGTTCCCAACAGTCTAGGAGTAATTGCCAAAGTACTTCCGACAGCTCTGGGCCTGGACGGGAGGGTCGGCTCCCACCTATAACCTTGATACTAACAGCCATATCGTTCATTAATTCATAAAATGGAGGTTTCTCTGTCAATATCTGTTGCCAAAAAATGGTCCATAGGATGCGCCAAAATGAACGAACGGGGACAAACCTCATAAGCAACACACCCAAAGGCATAAATATCTGATCCATAATGATTCTGCATTTCTCCCAATAACAGCTCCGGTGCTTGGTAACGCGCCGTTCCTCCACGAGCACTTCTGGTTGAATGAGTAAATCGCAAAGTCACGGCATCGGCAATGGTCGATAGTCCGAAATCGGCGATACAGGCCCTTCTTGAAGGGGTAATAAGGATGTTTGTCTGGAAGAACATAATAAACATGCTGGGATTCAGAGCAAGATTCTGAACAACATACTCCTTTGAGATCTCCGTGCACAACATGTTCGTCATGCAAATACTCCAGGCCCATCGCCACGTCCAAAATCTACAGCTACGTCAAAACAGATGAAAATACTCACAGTGACATATTTACAAGTGAAACTCGGTTGATACCGACCGGGGCAGTTTTTAAAAATTCCACGACGTGCCCGTTCTCCATCCAAGGCGACACGAGACAGAGTCTACGGTCCAAGTAATAAAGCCCATAGAACGGTAGCAAATTAGGGTGTGATAATTGTCGCCAGATGAGTGCTTCGCGGCCAAATTCCTGTAGGAAATGAGTTAAAATGGACTTTTGGAGAGCGATGACTTGCCTTGAGCGCCGCTTTTACATCCGTGTCCCGAAATAGTCTCATAATTTTAACAGAAACAGTCTGATCCCGGACCGAACCCTTCCAGATGTCGCCAAAGGCGCCGGCTGCCACTTGCGGCCCTAACTTTTCTAACCCAACCAGCGGGAAGCACGCAGGAAGAAGTTCAGATACGCGAGAGAGTCTTAGCAAGGCTTGTGAGAGCAAGGGCCGCGCTGGCGAATGCGGGAACGAATCAAGAAGCTGGCATATTCCGCGTTAAGATCGACATGATGTCAATGGATACCACGACCGCCTACATCTTGAACAAGATCCAGAAGGCGTTGAGCAACAGGTCCGCGAGATGCTAGAAATGTCTTGTAGGTTTCTGTGTCGCGTAAAACAATGATGAACTCTGCCAGTAGGGTGTAGGCGTCCAGAGAAAGATGTTCAAATATCTGCTTTGCGATGTCGCCGGTCCTTCTTTCCTCCTACGAGTCATATTAATACGCATGGTAAATGGAAGGCGTAGTAATCGCCATACCCATGACCACACGATCCGGTTCAGAAATCTAAACACAACCTCCAGGATTGTTCTATAATTCGAGAAACTGGTAGCAAAGTCGAGCTCCTGCTCGTACAGCCGTTTCACCCAGTTGAGAAATTCGTACAAACGTCTGTGCAGTGAAAGAATGAATGAATGCACGCAGCCATAAAGCAATGTTAAAATACTTACGAGTCTGACTGCTGACGCAGCGCAGTGGTCAATGCGTAGATAATGAAGTGCTGTTGACGTTATCGCAATGGTATTTCATCGGTTATGAAGAGTACCTGAGGGACCCTCCGCCGCTGAAGATCGGTGACTCCCATGTATTCAAGACAGTCGGAGAAACTTGGTTGTAGGACGAGATGTGCGTGGAGGGAAATATCGATATCGGGTCTTAAAGCGTTGCGTTTCGGGTTCCACGGCGGAGCAGGTCCAGGATGGCGTATTGATTCCTCATTCGAGGCCTCGTTTAAGGTCTGGGCGCTCATGATTTGTCTCTTGCCAGCTCGTTTGGGGAGGCGGTTGGGTGCAAGACTGTAACACAGCCCAGAACCGCACGGATATTTAAGACACCCGTCACAGCTGTTTTCACCGGGCCGCTGCCTCATGGATGCTGACTGGCCATGGGCCGCGCCCTGTCATCCAAGTTTGGTTTAAGTGTTGAAGACGAGAGACGCTCAGGCTCCGAGAAATAATCAACTTACCAGGAAGTTCGGAACTTTCATACCTTGTATCCCTTCAATTCCAAGGATGTTCACATTCCAAGCTGTCTCATGGATGTTGACTGGCTATGGGCCGCTCCCTGTCGTCCAAGTTTAGTTAGAGCGTGAAGAAACTGAAGAGACATTCCGGACCGTGAAATAATCAGGAAGTTTCAGACTTTTCAGCTCGTATCCCTTCAATTCCAAAGACATTCACGGTCCGATGGTGTAGTTGGTTATCACTTCTGTCTAACAGCACGCGCGTCTTGCGTAGCCTGTCGCACAGGCGGTCCTCAGTTCGAACCTGGGTCGGATCATGTTTTGGCTCGTCGTTGCTGCGTTCTTCGATTTTCATCTTTGAGTAATGCATTAATCTGTAACACAGGCGGTCCTCAGTTCGAACCTGGGTCGGATCATGTTTTGCTCGTCGTTGCTGCGTTCTTCGATTTTCATCTTTAATCGATTATCAGATGCAAATCAACATGTGAGCGCTTCTTTTTGCCGTCCAGGCTGTGTCCAGGTGCTGCCCCCGTCTTGAAGTATCAGTTCCACACTTTCTACGGCACGGAATTGGATGTGGAAGGTACAGAGGACGAAATTCCACGAGGCGGAAGTGGAAGGAAGCAGTGATCGGACGGTTCCCCATTGGGGTTGATATCTGACGTAAGCGGCGTTGAGTTCCCGTTTTGGAATGCGTTGCCAAACTTCGCAGGGTCCAAGTGTCTTTGGTTGGTCCTCGTCCAGAGGAATTTTTAACATTTTGCGTTCATTAAATATGTTTTTGTAGCATCCAATATATCATACAACATATCCAATCCCAGTCTACCTACACCCGCCGATCTCTATCCTTAAACAGGGAGTCGTGATTGTGCTTTTAAGTAAAGGGAATAAAAAGAAATGCGGCGATGAACCACCAAGTGGGTGAATGAATGGATGAAGCAGCTGATATGGTAATACAGGGAATGTTCGGCAGGAGCAAAACCACGCCGAGCGGTCTATACACGCCTCGCGCACCATAAATAAGGAGCGCACAGGGGAGGGGAGGGAGGGGGTAACACAGAGTCAGAATAAAATGGTACAAGGTGGGTGGGTATCGGGTCCTCGCGATCAGGCCGCGCGCTTCTTCTGCCTGCGGGGAGTCGTGACGCCACCATTGCCGGCGTACGGGTATTTTTGCTTTTTCTCGGCCGGTTTGAGGATCTAGACGGTGCTTAGTCGGTGAACAATTCGTTTGCAGGGAGGGGCGGAAACGCACCTGGAACGAACACAATAGCGACTCGTCCACGCTCATCATGGCGCCCGCATTGTCAAACTCGCCGCAATAATTCGGCGCCGAGAACAGCGTCACCAGATGCCGCTTCGCGAAGAACTCGTACCCGTCCTCCACCACCTGCATCTCGGGTGTTAGGCAGACGGGAAAATTGGAGGGCAAGACGCACCTGATGCCCCCGACATATCAACTCCATGTCGTGTTTTTGAAGGAACCGCGCGACGACATCGGGCCCAAACGTAAACGACACCCCGCGGTCGTTTTCTGACCACCCCGTAATATCTTTGTCGGGGTCGGCCCATAGCAGGTCGGAGAGTAGCCCTATGTCAGTGTTAGCATTCGGCGCTGCTGTTGCCGAAGAACTGAGACGGCAGCGCACCTGTATCAGGGACGTCAGTCGGCCGCATCACCCGTCGTATCTGCTCCATCGACTGCAGGTCCGGACTAAGGCCGCCGTGCATGGTGAATATCTTCTCGTCAATAATCGCCGCGATGGGCAGGCAGTTGAAGCAGTCCGTAAACGTCTTCCACAGTTTTATGTTGTACCGCCGCTTGCCTTTGTTCGCCTTTCGTCAAAAAAAACATCTCGTCAAAGAAACAGGAACGCACATTCGTCGTAGAACCCGTATATCCTGTTAATGCACGCACACTCGTGGTTCCCTCGCAAAATAAAAAAGTTCTCGGGGTACTTGATCTTGTACGCCAGGAGCAAGCAAATAGTCTCGAGGGACTGCTTCCCGCGGTCGACATAGTCGCCCAGGAACAGGTAGTTCGCCTCGGGCGGGAAACCACCATATTCAAACAGCCGTAGAAGGTCGTAGTATTGTCCATGAATGTCCCCTGTATACCCAACGTCCGTGAGTGTACACCGAAAACCAAGGGTCACACGACGCACCACATATCTTGATCGGCGCCTCGAGCTCGAGCAAGATGGGCTGGTTGATGAATATCTCGCGCGCTTTGGTGCAGAGGTACTTGATTTCGTACTCTTGCAGCTGGACGGCCTTGCCGGGGCGATTGCCTCGAACTGGACGGCGTTGCCTTCAGTGCCTCGAAACAAAAGGGGGACGGTGGGCAGACCTTCGAGAAGTCTATCAATGACCGAGTCGAGGTCAATCTCTATCTCTGCCATGCGCAATTAGCCGGTAGTATCGAGGCCTGGGTTATAAAGCTGTAGACTGGTATGGGGTATCGAGATGAAGGGGAGCTCGGTGCTGTTGCGTGCGGGGTGTACTGCGAAATCGATAACGAGCGACAGCGAGCTGCGAGCTGGGGTATGCTGTGGGGAATGAGGCTGATGACTCGAGTGGACAAGATAAAGTCAATCGCACGGCCAAATATGGTCGACAGGCCCACGCGAAGTTTGATCTTATCCCGGTCCGCGTTCCCGAAGCCTAAAAGTCGTGCATTACAGTATGTACGAGCTAATTATCAAGTTGCTTATTTCTAGAAAACAACAGTGCAGCATAATGCGAGTGCAGGAGACGTGTATGGATCGATGTGCGCAGAAATAGTCCCAGTGGAATAACAAAAGAGTGTACATTAGACAAATTAGCTCGCGTCCGCCGTTGGGGGCTGTGCGCTAACACTAGTAGCATCGGCCGTGCCATTAGCAGCCCGGTTCCGTCGTCTCCTCCGCCTGCGCAAAAAAGAAAAAGTAACCAGTCGAGTCAGCATCGCGCAGCACAGGCATAAAGACCGCGCAACCCACCTGGGGAACAACGGCCCCTTGGGCATGATCCGTTCGTCCAGATCCAGCGCAATATTAGTCGCACAGTGGAAGCCCTACGTGGCCAAACCCAGTCGTTAGCCTTTCTTCTTCCTGGCCCCTCGTCCGAAGAATTAGAACGCACCTCGATCCAGTCCACGACATCCCCCACGTCGCGCGCCTGCAGTAAAAACTGCTCCCCCTCCAGGCGTACCCGAATAACATGCTTCCGCTTGACATAGTCGTTCCCCAGCCCGCTCTCCGCGTGCTGCAACGTATACGCGCGGATGAGATCCGCGGGGTCGGGCTCCGGCACGTCCGTCCCCGCCGCAGCCATCGCTTTAGTTAACTTGGTCTTCGAACTGCCACTGCTGCTGGGTGTCGCGGGAGTCCGCGCGCTGAGCAGACCCGAGCGCGAAGACGACGCAAGGCTGATGTTCGAGACGTTCGACCTCGAGGGCGCGAGCGGGACGCCCGTCGTGGGACTCGAGTTCCCACTTGCCCCAGGGCTCGAGTTTGAACTGAACGAAGGCCGAGGGATAGAGAGCGACGACCGCGACGTCGTCGGCGTCTTCGGCGGACCTTGCAAATCGCTCTTCGACCGCCCATGCGCCCGCGGCTTGAGAAGACTAAGCCCAAGATTCAACCGCGAGCGGTTCGCCTGCGTGTGGGTGCTCCCCTCGGGCGACGGTGGCGTACTCGACGCGGCAGACGATGACGCCCGACTGCGCGCCGACGACGTACTCGCCCTCGGCGGAACAACCACCTCCGTCGTCCCCTCGCTCTCGTCTGCTGCAACAGGCAGTCTTCCCTCCTCGCCCACAATCTTCCTCTCCTGTACCCCCGTCGGCTTGGCTGGCTTCGCCGGAACCGCGCTGAACACCGCCCCATCCCCCGCCCCCACAGCCCGCTCCCACCACCCCTCCCCCGCACACCGATACACCCGAAACGCCGTCCCCTCCAGCTCACACACCACCCTTCGCCACTTGCGGTCCTTCGCTTGCACCCCCGGCGCCGTAAACTCCATCTTCCGCGGCATCACCCCGCGCAGCAGTATGGCGTTGCTATACCCCGGCAGCGTCTCGCGCCCCTCGTCGTCGCGGGGCACGATGCGCGCCTGGGCGAGCGGGTGCGCGTTCACGGGGAGGAACGGCGAGCCGACAGGGGGGAGCGTGTACGGCGGCGGGGCGGCCATGATCTCGGGCATCGACCGGCGGCGCTTCAGCGTGCTCGTCCGCCCGATTCCACCATGCCCGTCGTACGCCGGCGCCTCCCCGCGCGGCGCGTCGTCCGCCTTGCCCTTGCCCTTCCCGTTGAGCTTCAGCCCGAGCGGCACGTCGTCGTCGTCGGGCGTGGACACGGTGTTGAGGATATCCACCATGCTGCGCGAGGCGTGCTTGTACATCCCGGGGCGCTCCCCAACAGGCGAAGGGAGCGGCGGCATCGGGATGCCGCGCACGGTAGGCGAGACGGGCATCCCCATCGGCGTCTGCAGCGGCTGGCGGGGCGTCTTCCCGTCCGAGGTCGGGGTCCTTACCGAGAAGTAATCCGGGTGCCACCCCGCCACGGTCGGCGTCCACCCGCCCATATTGCTGCTCTGCGACGGCTGTGCTTTGAGTGGCGGCGCACCCTCCCTCTCCTTCCCCTTCCCCTTCCCAATCCCCAATCCCCCAAACAGCCCCCCAAGATCCAACGACAACGGCATCGCATCGAGGCGGAGTGGCACGAACGGCGATTGCCCGCCCTGCGCGCGGTCGACGTCCATCGACTCCCCCCGCTCGCTCTCCCCACCATCTTCGTCCCGCCCGTCCTCATCCCGTCCATCCTCGTCCTCCTCTTCATCCTCATGCTCGTCCCCATCGTCCTCCTCCTCCCCGCCGCCCACACCCGCCCCCTCCATCGCCAGCGCCGGCATACTCCGCACCACCGCCCGACTCGTCTCCCTCGCATGGTTCCCAAAAATCACACTCGACCTCCTCTGCACACCATCCTGCGCCCCGCCCGCACCCCCCGCACCATGCACACCCTCGGCACGCGGCGACGTCGGCGCCGAAGTCACATTCGGCAGCCGCAGCACCGGGATCGCAAGCGGCGGCTGCCGCGTAATAATGCTCGGACTCAGCCGCGCGATGTCCCCCCCGTCCATCATGAACCCCGAGCCGCCGGGCGAGGCCGGGTTGAACGTCATGCTGAGCCGATTCATCGACATCGGGATGCTGGGCGGGCGGCGCGCGGGGAGCGTCCCCGTGCCGCGCGGCGAGGAGGGCGCGTAGGAGTAGCCCGAGGCGGAGGCTGTGCGCGCGCGGAGGTGTGCGTGCGGATTCGGGTTGGGGGTGTTG